TTGCTATTGCTATTGCTATTGTCACTCATAGCTGAATAGATATTTTGAATTGAATACTTTAAGTGGCCAAGTGTGATTAGACACACAAGGAATTGTTCACCTAAATATATTACGAAAGGACTGAACCTGCAGGTCACCAGCCACTAATTTTCTGGAACTAACGGAGCAGGTGCTACTTTTATTTCTTTAATAGTTTGCTATATCATTTTAATGAAATCATATTTAAAATGATTAATAAAAGTTACATAGTAACAGCGTTCTCCTGCCTCCACTCTGTTTCATGGATTGAAGGTAATTTATAGAAATTGTTTTAGTTTCTACTTCTGGAACAGTCTTCACCATTTAAGTATTAAGTTTGGATAACAAAAGTATAACATCATTCATGTAAATCTTGGTTTACGGGGGATTGGAATATACTAACAATCACTTTTGTATGTTTTAAGAAGATTACCTCTTTTTAAATGTTAGTGGAGGTGGGAAAACATTGAGCATATACTGTAAGCATGCTGCAGGAAATACTGAAAATTCAGCCAGATATATATTGCATTTACAATAGCATAAACACACCTATAAGCACAACAATTAATCCATCAATCCCAGGGACAGTAATTCATTCTCAAACACAGACAAAATATCAGCAAAAGATTTCTCAGTCACACAAAAATTATTCATTTTCTCAGTTTTCTATTTCTCCTTCCCTCTCTTTTTTCCTTCCTTTTTCACACATAGGCTCCCTTACAGTTTCTATTGTATATTCCTCCATCCTGCATATATACTGTATATATTTATCCCATAGATAGGCAATTTGGTTCCAACTCTGAATAAATACTCACTTTATGATTTATTTAAATTGGGACAATTGTTTTTTCCCTCAGAATTGAAAGGAAATCCATTCTTATTATACTTTTATTTATTAGCAAAAGTATACAATTTCCTATACATATTTGTCCACTTTTTAGATTTATTCATATGTGCTCTTTTGTGTTTTAAAAAGTGAGGAAAGAACACTGGAAGGCTGTGGATGCCATACATTATTAGAATCTATATTGCTACAGATTGCCATTTCATGACTGCCAATCTTTCACTGCACTACAGTAAATTCACTATAGCTCCCAGTTTGCTGGGGTATAGATGTTTCTCTTTCTTTGCAAAGAAGGGAAGTAAATTTTAGTGCATAGCAACATGATGTTCAGTAATGCCCAAGGAGACAATTCCAAGTTTATTTAACTTTGAATCAGTTTTTTTAATGTCTGTAGGACAATGAAGGAGGTGTGATTGCTCAACTTCCCAGTAGTATGACAACCTTCAATCAGACTGGCCTGAAACCAGGTGAAGAGTACACAGTCAATGTGGTAGCTCTCAAGGAACAAGCCCGAAGTTCACCCACTTCAGCCAGTGTTTCAACCTGTAAGTAACCCTAACCAACTTTTTTTATGTAAGCTTGTGAATTAATACCAGCCTTCTTTCCTGATGGGATAAGACTATTTAAAAAGTAATTTGCTCCAAGAAGAATCATCATGTTTAGGAATAATATACTTTTAAATAATAAATGCAGTGTTAAAAAAGACTTTTGCTTTCTCCTTCATCAGTGGTGGGTTTCAAAAAATTTTGGAACCTCTTCTGTAGGTGCTTTCCGGGTCTACTGGTGGTACCTCTTCGAACCGGTTCAGTAGATTTGACAAACCGGTTCTACCGAACTGGTGCGAACCGGTAGGAACCCACCTCTGTCCTTCATGCTCTATTTGTGGGACACAAGAAACACCTCTATAAGTATTGTTGGAACCGTTTTACTGGAATGGATAGATCAACAATGTTAAACAGCTTCTCACCTAAGATGCAAGGATTTCATTTGTCTCGAAATGTTCCTTGTCAACTTATTACATATCTTCACTTAGCAATATCTATTTTGGGGAGTGGGAGAAGAAAACCATGCAAATGCTCCAACACAGGATGCATCGACAAAGCTAATTATAAAGAGTTAATGAACTCTTGATCCGGGCAAAAATATGTATGCCAACTATTGCACAACACAAGGAGGTCTTCCTTGAAAGAAAAGAGAACGTGCTAAATATTAATTTGCAATTCTGATGGACACCTTAGTTATTCTTTCATCATGTCAGCAAGTACCGTGGCACAACAAAACCGCGCTCGTCAAAATAGTGGTGATACAACCGTGTCGCTAAAGCCGCGACGTCATCACCGCGACGTCATCAC